TCACGTGCATGCGTGAAGTTCTTTATAACCCTCGAGAAGTTTTGCTGGACTACGAAGTTGATAGCTCTGGTTCGAATCCCCAAATCTCATGCAAAGGAATGAATGGGGAACCATGATCATCCATGTCTGTCGCAGACCAGGTACTTGATGATGATGTTAAAGATTTAAGAAGTAAATTGCTATAGTATGAAATGTGTCATGATTGATATAATAATATAATTTTGCACGGTTTGGTGGACGACAGATTCCCTTTGTCAACGTAGGTCCCACGAATAGTCAAGTATCTTTCCTATCGTTGCATGTGTAAACTACAGACCATCGCTGTAGGATATTGTGTCAGACGGCCGAAGCTGATTTCTAGTGTTTGCCGCATTGTTTCTTCATCATTTATTTTCCTCCCGGCAAGAAATTGCTGCCTTAGCCCAAACAGGTGGAAGTCAAAACGGGCAAGATTAAGATCAAAAAAGTTTTCATGAGGTTCTCGGAAGTCACCAACAGACCCAGGTCCCATGATGTCATGAACTTTTTGCCTGTATCGCACCAATAGTGTCGTGCAAATACCAAAATAGTATTCTGTGCCTTAGCTCATAGTCACGTTTACTGTGCCTTGTCGCCAGTCATCATGACAGTGTTCGTCTTTTGGTGCCTCACTCCTCCCCACCACAGGCCTCCATCTTCCCCTGTCTCTGCTTTGATGTATTCATGACGTCTAAGAATGCTGTCCGATTTTACCTTTTCAATATATGATGAAGGAGGTCTTCCCTTATTTCTCTTTGCTTCTATTTGTCCGTATGGCACAGTTGTCATCTGGTCCGTTTATAATATACAGTATAGGCTTCTTTTTGCGTGAGCAAGGTATTTGAGTCTACTTTTGATGATCTTGGAAAGCATTATACACTGTGTATCAAGTTCTTTCATTAACTTTCTTTTGTTATTATATCTGTCTATTTGATCCGAAGCATTCTTCTATAAAACAACATACCTACAGCCTGAAATTTTGTCTTTCTTCCATATCACATCTTTCAAAATTCTGACTTTCAATTCTCGAACTACCATCTTTTGTTTTGCCATGTCAATTCTACATCTAACATCCTTAACGCATGTTATATTCGCTGTTAAGGCAATAAAAATTAAAAGGCTATATATTTTCAAGCCGTTTTCCATTCCTTTATAAGTGTTGGAATTTTTGACTTCCCATCCCTCTAATGTGCATGACTTTGGTAATTTAAACTTTTTTTTAAAACCTGCTTTATCGCCAGTTCAGGAAGAAACAAAACACTGACACGCAACCGGTTTGACACGTCATGTTTACTATAAATGATTAGCCAGCGCAGTCGCATTTAATTAAGGCTGCAAAAATTAATGGCCTGCGTAATCGGTGGTGTGACTTAGGTGTGCGGTGCCTTAGGCAAATTTTTCACAGAGCCTGTGAACAAAGGAAAAACCCGTAAAATTGTCAGAAGGGCATACTAGTAGCGTCATTTAAGAATAAAGGCATCGCTTTGCTTGTCACTACATAGGGAAACCGTTAAAACAACAGAATGGGCAAATACCCTCTAGTACAAAATAGCTTACTCCTTTCTTTGTTTGAACATTTTAAAAAGTCCTGAGTCTCGCCGATGATACGGTACCAGCTGACAAATGTCGCGGATTTGGCATACAGCTGACTATGGAAGTGTAGGAAATACGTAATTGTATATCAGGATAACATTGATTCTGCGAACCCATCGCAGTTTCAAACAATACAGTTTTTATTATTAAGTGTTATTCTTTGTCCATTCTCTGTTGCATGGCTCCGCTCTGCTGCTCTCGCGTTAAAGTCCCCACAGATTGTACGTTCACCCGGCATCTCTGTAAGATCACACAAAAAATCCAGTCCCTCTCATGAACCAACTGGTTATTTCCTGCATACATGTTGAACACATTCCATCTCATGTCACCACCTTTAATTTGGATACCTTGTACATGACACTTCCCAACTATGCTGGCTCCATTCTTCCACATTAAAAATGTTATGTTCAATGCTGTCTTTCAGCAACATAGCTGTTCCATGCCCATCATCTATGGGGTAGCTTAAAAAACTATAACCAGGAATGTTAATTCTGGTCTTAGCGTCTAGCCGTGTTTCTTGCAACAAGAGCACATCAAAATCATAAACCACCCTGTCAATGATGGATCTTCTCTGATTCACGCTCCGACAATTACAGTATTCTATCCGCAAATATTTTTTACTCAGTCTGTCCGCCTTTTTCCTATGTCTCCTCGCGCCTGACCTTCGCTTTCGGTTTCTTCTTCCCTCTCCCTGTCCTCGTCGTCTGCACGAACTTTTTCTCCATGTACTGAATCAGGTCTCGAGCTCAGTGCATGGTCCCCGTTGCTCCGGCGATGATCCTTTGAATTTTGAAAATATTTCTCCATGTCCTTTTTTAATAATTGCATGAAATAATCCCGCTCATCTGACAGAGCCTGCTTGTCAGACATCGTTATATAAACAGACGCTCTTGACTTCTGACCCTCCGCCATTCAGCCCCTCGGTACGTCGACTTTGAGCTTGGGGATTATTTTTTCGAGGTTGTCTCCTCTCGATCCGTTGTGTTCTGTCCCTTGCCTGCAAGGTCTAGGAACAGGGTCACCTCGTGAAGGATGTGGCTCTTCGCTCACGTACAACGGTCTTGAGGTACGAGTGGTATGCCAAACCAGAGGACTAACGGACGTGGCATGCCCTTTTCACTGTACAAATACAGCTAGGTTTGAAGATAACTAAGAGAAGGCCGCTTATGTGCCTCACTGCCTAGCAGCTTATCCATCATTACCCCCTGAGTCTCCAGATCCTCAACTGAAACTTCATGAATAATTTAAAGTAATGGGGAAAAGAACAAGAAGAATCGGAATACCATCATCTTGAGCGACTTCGTGAGCTTGGAATTTTTATGACTGGGGTTTATTTTGAATTTACTATGAATTAGTAACAAGGGAATCGGCTGTGGGTCTAATTAAATGTGTTACAACATCATTGTGACTTGATTTATCGACGCCACTGCTTACCGATCTTTCGCTCAGTCATAATAATATTCGATAAATCCACGAGAGAGAGAGCAGTACGACGGAGGACAAACGGCAGTTCTGGCCAAACAATAAATTATAATAGAACTTGGACTGAGAACTGCGACACAGTTTGAAGACCAATGCATGTGTTCACCAATGGGTAGCAAAATCTGAGGCAAATGCGATCAGGTACAGAGGACCAGCAAATTTATGACAAAACATCCAGTTAGATGAACGTTGCGTATGCAAGAAATTGACTTGTTGCGGCCTCTTAGATGAATAAGACGCTTTATATTTTGGGAAAAGATGGCAAGTCCTTGAAGTCCCTGTAAAATAACCACCTTTCCAGCACCTTGTTTATACACTGAAAAACTTTCTTCGAGCTCCTTCTCTCTTTCTTTCTATTTCTGTCTCTGTCTGTTTGTCTGTCCATCTGTCTGTCTGTCTGTCTATCTATCTATCTATATATCTGTCTATCTATCTATCTATTTATCTATCTATTTATCTATCTATCTATCTACTTTCTGTTTATCTATCTCTGTCTTTATCTCTATCTCTGTCTTTATCTCTATCTCTGTCTTTCCTTTCTCCCCATCTCTGTCTGTCCCTCTCCCACCCAAAACCCCCTCTCTCGCTCTCGCTCTCTCTCTCTCTCTCTCTCTCTCTCTCTCTCTCTCT